GGCACAGCGAAAATTATGAATAATAATAAAAATAATAATAAATAATAATAATAATAATAATAATAATAATAATAATAATAATAATAAAAATAATAATAATAATAATTAAAATTATGCTGCACAGCCGCTCCATACGGATATACCTATATATACATATCATTCATATAATTTTTATGACTTTCGTCAGATAATATAGTAACATATCATACTATGGGTCGGGAATTTTAGATTTTATTTCTATCATCGCTTGTATAATAATCACCGTCTACCGATATCATTTTTATCATCACATTCGTCAGATAACATAATATAATACATATTATTTAGGCCGGACATTTTTTTCATTATATTAAACACTCTAGTTTACGAGGTACGCCAAGAATCATGGATGAAGTAATATTAAGTGAGTAGAATTTTTTGTTACAGACAGTCCTAAGTCTGTAAAAATGGGAAGGAAAATGTTTTTTTTTTTAATTTTACGGGACTCAGTTAATATTAAAACATGGACTCAATTAGTATTATACCTATAATTTCACTGGACTCAATTGGTTTATACCCTAAAACAACCCGGGACTCAATTCGTCATAAAAGGTTATACTGGGACTCAGTTCGTAAGCAGCCATATTAATATCGATAATACTGTTAACAAACCATAATATGAGAAAAGTATACATCAAATTGTATCTGAATATACCAGACAATATAGGCGTAAACTAGGAGGGCAAGGGGTGGACATTACCTCCCCTAGACAATTTTAGGACGGGCAGTTCCTTTTCTGATATTGAACATACCTTGTTTTAAAATAAGTACAAAACAGCTGGTTATAGCTATTAATATACAGTTGTTTTTTAAAAAAATCTTAATTTTCAAATTAAGCTTATCTAACATATTGTTAGATAATAAATAATATTTTATAATTATATGTAGATAGTATAACGACGTTTCGTTTAAAAATTATAAAATATTAAACATTTCTGTTTTTAATGTATTATTCAAGTTCATATTTGATTTATTTGATTACTTAGTAATATCGATCACCTTATACTATTATACAACAAAGGTTATGTTAACATATGTTTACTAGTAAGTAATTTAAGGTTAACTTTATAAACCAGTTGATCTGTAGTTGATGTTTGCCCCTCCCTCCTTCTAATAAATTCCCAAAATGCCAGACATTACTGTTTTTCCTAAATCGACGACGCCGTCGTTTATCACAACAACCATGTTATCTTTTACTATGAAAATATATTTTCTCGTGTACCTATATAGATACTGAGCGTAAATATAATTATATTTACCACACTCTTGAATTAATTTTCAACCGATTACATACTTTGTACGTTGCTAAGCGCGGGTCAACAGGTCAACGTGTACTGCGTGCTGCATAGTCACTAGTCGACCGAACGTAATTTCGGCTAACACAGATAGGGCACTGATAAGTGATAATAGTAGCGGAGTTCAACTTGTTTATTAACGAATGTCGAAAACGGTTTTGACATAATAAACCGTAATGTTCGTTATACAATTGACGTAAATCGAAATCCACGTTTCAAATAAAAATTATTCTGAACATTAGTGAGGGTGAACGTGGCGTTCCGGTGAATTTAATAGTTGGGGTACGTATGAAAAAAAAATGTATAGCAAAGGAGCTCCGTTAACAAGTTAACGAGTTCCAAAACATTGGTGAAGGTTTTAAGTTGATATGACAATGTGGAGGGGAGGGGGGCGACTTTGTGGACGTGTAGATTTTGATTATTACTGTGGTTCCAAAAATTTTGTCATGTAATCGATGGACGCGAAAATGCGATGACAACACACACAAACTAATGTTCGTTTGCTACTTACAAAATGATACATCCGTGTCGTATAAAATGCCTAATTACTACTCCTTAAAACATGCTATAATCCAACAGCCTTGATAGTCATTAATAGGGCTCGGATTTATATGTGAATACATATTTTTACTGGGACTAGATAAATTAATTTAAGTATGTGATAAACTCGTTTCAAGAGATTTTCAGTTAAATTAACTGTATTTTATTTTACATATCTTGCCATAAGTACAAATTTTTACATATTTCTCAATAATTCCATTTTTTCTTTCATATTTCGACCATTTGTCTATTTACGATTTGTTAATAATTCAATACAGACGATTTCCCATGTTTCCAAAAATAAGTAAACAAAATATTACCAATTATTGAATTTAATCCAACGGTCAATATACGAGTATGTTCCATATTTCGATATTTCAATATGTTCGACAAGAAAAATGACTTAAGTTCAAAGTCTTATAAAAATGATTTTAACTTGAATACTTTATTATACCTACTTATAATTACTTAATATTTTTACTTATTCTATCATAATTTGTATAAAATGTTCTATATATGCCATTGCTCCGGCGCATATGAATTGCGTCTCTAAATTATACTTTTTCCGAGTTGTGTCAGCGGTTTTTTCACGACATATCCGAGTTGCGTCCGCGGTATTCTCGGACCATGGGTTTTTCAGCAACCGTGAATATTGCTTGGTGATAAACTCGTAGGTAATCTCGATTATCATCGATATCTTATCTGTACATACCACCTTACAATTTATTGTTGGAAATTAATTTTGTTCATTGTTAGCATTAGTCTTACTTCGAAATCCAAAAATATATTTAATAATAGAGAAATATTAATTATTACAATACAAAAATATGGAGAATAAAATACACGAGTAATGTCGGGTATTTAGATATACGGATAGTGATGGGTATTTAGCTACAAGGGTAATGTGGGTGAACGGGTATTTACAAATACACGGACCTTAATCCTGTTTCAGATAAGAACACGTGTAATGGCGAGCACTAGTTTAAGCTGTCCAAAATGAATTAGAGATATATGTTGCGTAATGAATGGAGTAATATTACAAAATTAATCACTCTTTTGTACAGTGGAAATATGAAATTTGCACCCATTACTTCTGTTGAAGTCCAGCGCTCCTTTAGTTGGTACAAATCTGTATTACGACAAACCGTAAATAATTTAACTTCAATTCAAGTGTCTTAATTACACTCCAAAAGTGAATTCTAAGAAAAATCATTCTGATGATGTATTTTATTTATTTTAATTCTAATTGGTCTAACAAAATAAATATTAATAATTTTGCAAAAAAAGAAACTTTTCTAAGAGCCCAACAAAGACTTTATTTTCTTTGAACGTTAATGCTTTTGAAAAAAAAAAAGTTTTTTTTTAAATACAATTTAGGTTTACCGAGTAATGCTCCAATATAACGTATAATTAGCATTGATTAATTATACATTAAATGTATGAAATATATTAAATATATTAAATGTATCTTTAATCAATGTAATTAGTGTGGGAAGTGCAATTATAACTAAGAAACAATTGAAAATTACTAATGCAAATTTCGGTAAAATAATAATTATTAAATGTAACAAAATGTAAATGATTTTCGTGAATAAAGTGTATATGTAAAATATGATAAAGAAAGTAATAATAAATCAATACACTTATAATAATAAAATGTTATAATTATTTAATTAAGACAAATTGTATTTTCAGAAAAGAAAAAAATATTTCTAAATAATTGTACTGTCGAAGTATTCGAATAATTTTTCAAGTCTATTTAAAATTCATTCTAAATGTATTTTTTTGAAATTATTTCAAAACGTGTTCTGAATGCCTTTTAACACAAAATAAACGTATTCTTTAGAAGTTTGCTTATAATGTACCGCGAAATTTACACTACATTCGTTGCATCAGCGATTCAATAACTCAAAGGTTTCGTATGACTGTTTGGTTTACGTGAATACAAATTGTAGTAGGTAATTTTCGTAAATAATAATTATGAAAGAATTTTTAAAGTTTTTCGTAATTTTATTGGTTTTCCGATAGATAATTTATTGTTTATTGATTCGGACGTTGGGGTGCCATGAAATACTAAATAATTCTCCTAAGGGTTCCGGGCTCGTAAGAATTGGGGAACCGCTGCTTTACGTGCATCGACGTGAGTAAAGACGTGTATTGAGGGTACAAACCCCCCAATTTCAATAAAAATAGTTCTATCTAAATATGTTGAACCCCGTTCCTCCTATAAACAATCCATACCTCTCGATCGCATGTGATAAACTGTCGGTCAATGGATGAACACACAGGATGTGATCGTTAAAAACGCGTTCGTCGTAAGCGATGTTCGAAGAGGGAGGGGCGAAGGTGGTGTGCGACCCAGGAGTCTGCGGAAGGTTCGTTTTCGCGATAGCGCCCTGGCGCCCCGAACGGCTTTCGCCCGTGCACCGTGCCGAGCGTGCCGGAACATGTTCGCGGTATGCGCACGCGCACGCGCACACGGCGAGATCGTCCGGCGTGTGACTCGGCCAGTGGAGGGACGTGCGACCGACCGGAGTAGGAGCGACGAACCGAGATTACGGAGGTCCGCGGCCGGCACGTCGTTAGCTCGACCCATGGCTACCGACCAGTAGAGCATTGACCGTTTTCGCGAACAGCCTGACCGAGCTCCAACAACGTTCTATCGAGAAACCAGCCCACGCGACCCACCCGAACGCATACGTGTACAGTTCGTTATCGGCGTAAACAGCAGCAGCAGCAGCAGCAGCGCACGCACGCATCCCGACGATGGTTGGACAACCGGCCATGCCTTTGTACCTCTGCGGGGTACTAGCGTTCGCCGCGATCGCGATCGCCGCGGCCACGGACACGACGACACCGCAGCCGCTCGACGTTCAGAAGTATTCCGACGTTGCCAATCAGCCGAAAGACTCACTGGTCTCCGCCGTCAACCCTCCGGAAGACTCGTTGAGACAGCGGACCCGTCAAGCAGTTAGTAAGCAGGCGATCGGATTGAATCCGACTACGAAAAAACCACACCCGTGGAGACCGCCGAGGAAATTAGTGGATGGACCTGTCCAACGTGCGGTCGCTGAGACGGAGGCGCCTACTACCGATCCGCAAGGGAAGCCGAA